ACGCTATGATCTTCTACTTATTCTCTCAGTCGGCTGCGGTCCTATCCTAAACCTTTCCCTCTACAGGATTTCACACCTTCCAACCCCCCCAAAAAGTCCTGACCCATAACCCAACCTAACCTAACAATTTACGGTGCCTTGACTAGGTATGCCCTTCTGGTACTACCCGAGGCGAGCACCCCCCAGGACACATTCTCTCCACCTCGATATGCACGGCAAGATAGAGCCGTATTCACACTGTAAAATAATAAACCAAATACCTTTATATCCAGAAACGTCAAACTTTCGTTGCTTCTTTGTACCGTTGGGATTGCTTTGATTGTAATTACCTATTTCGTCACTTGGAGCTCTCGAATGCGCGCGATGATGTGTGATCTGGCTACAGGAGCAAGAAAATGTGAAACATTCAATGCGCATGATTCTATATGAGGGCATAGATAAATATTAGAATATCCAAATGAAGTATAATAATATTAATAAAAGAGTTTAAGGACATAAATGTGTGACAGCAGCCATAGATAATTAGCCAAATATCATTTTGACAAGTGTGTAGGTTGCTCTTGGTATGCTCCTCTTGTATGACCATCAAATGGGAAACTTTGTTTGATCTACATAGTTTTTTTTTTTTATAGTTTTTTTTTAGTTTTCCAAATTTGGCTCATAAAAGTTCTGGTATTCAGAATACCTTCACATGACTGATCACGATGATATTGGTATCAATAGATTCCTCTGACATTTGCCACAGAACCTACCTAAAGCCCCACATTCCTGGCTTCAGTAGCAGAAGAGGACATGAAAGGTACCAGGAAAATTGCAGGGTGATATATGAAAAATATACACAGATCCAGTCACTAGTCTGTATTATATAACACAGGGGGTTGTGTCCTAGATGGGAAAGTTCGTACTGCATGGCGGAGGTCGCTGCCTTTCAAAGCAGGAGGATTGGAAAAAGGCTATTATTCCTAGTGTGCCAAGAGAGTTTTTCTGTGATATTTCTCTCTTGTCCCATGCATGACTGAATTGTTTATCTTTGTACATTACTGTGGCTTGTTTAAGTTGTTGATGAAGTGGCCCACATGAGATATTAACACATTGGTAACAGTGAGTTTTGTATATTGAGGCTTAGCAGTGGTCTGTTTAAAGGTTGTGTGAAATAAATATCAAAGATAGAACATACTCATCCCCTGATTCTTTTTCAATGTGTCAAAAAAGAAAATTATAGCCTACTTTTGAAGACAATGGGTTTTGAGTGACTAGTAAGAGTAATAAAACCACTTGATTATGATCCTCTCCGGGGCAGTTCTCATAACTTCCAACCCTTAACCATAATATAACTAAAAAAAGGATTTTAAGGAGCATCTTGGTTAGTGTTTAGTTCTGTCATCAGTCATTAGGAAGAAAACTAGTCTAGGAAAAGGAAACTCTAGGAAAAGTTAAGGATTATTTTTCCATTTTTACACATGTAGGGAAATGGTATCAGGATTACTTCAATTTTTTACATATCTACTTATTTTATATTTGATTCTAGAATAATTGTTGCTTATGGGAAAAGTTATTTATTTACCTCAAATTTGCTATTTTTAGAATACTTTGAAGATACATGTAATATACAACGATAAGAGCATTTATTTATTTTATCCCCCCACCTCCCACCCCAGTTACGAGATATTTTAAAAACATAAAATTATCTATATAATTTTCTTTTCAGATAAACCTGCAATCCTGTCAAATTCTTAGCAACTTTCTTACTCTTTCAGGTGCCCAGCAACATGCTATTGGCGCAGCTGTGGGTATGATCTCGGGTATTAGTGCCGAGAAATGGGTTCAACGAAAATCAGCACACAGAGATGCTGTGCTGCACCAGTATATTGTGTCACACCCTGATGATTTCCCCCCTATTGGTTAGTAGGTTTTATTTTTGAGTGACTTGATACATCTTTCATTGAGCATTACAAAACTATCTTGATTAAAATATGCATTACATAATCTACTTTTGAAGGATCAATATCTTCCCAAAACCTGTTGCTTGTTTCTGTGTATGTATTTGGTCTTAAATTAAGGTTGTTTACTGTCTCTCGCTGCCTTCTATTCACATATAATTTTGAAAACTTGTGTATTATAAAATGTTCCTTCTTTCTTCCAGAACGAAAGAAATATGCCAGTGTCTTAGAGCAGTGGGTGCCAATGCGGTAACTTCCTACATTGTTCCACAGAATATCTACAGACTAATAAATTACATATATTTTATAAATATGTGAAGAAGAATGTTTAACATTTTAATGAAAGTGGAAAGTCCACATGGACGTGTACTAAATTATTAAATGTGAATGGGCTGAAGGTACAGGAAAGAGTCTTGTGGTATTCTAGAGCAATGTGCTTAAGTTGACTTTAGATTATAAAATATGTATATATGAATAAATATTTCCATCTTTATCTTGTATTTTGATCCTGAAATTAAATTTGTTAAATGAAAATGCCTGTACATATCAGTGCTTTTCCTCACTCCAGACATGAGTAAATTGCAATTTACATTCCAAAGTTGATATGTTATCAAAACAGACATTTACTTCACAGAAATTAATTTGAATAAAAGTTGAAGATTTAAGTTTGTAAATCAAGGAATTATCATTTTCTGAAAAAGTGTATACTCATATTCATTTCTGATCAAGACCTATATATGATTAATATATGGTGAGACTCCAGCAAACAATGCACTTGCTGATTTGTAATGTACAATCTGTTTTAATGTTATAATTTTCCTTCTAATCATTATTCGTCGTATTCGTCTCCTTTTTTCTCTCCTCCTTCACCATATCAACAAACCTTTAATTTGGTTTTCATCTAACCATCATTCTCCTCCTTTTACCTTCTGTTTTTTCTTCAGACTTTTTCCCATGCTCAGTGTTGCCATTGGGGGGCTTAGGAGATGGAAATGGACCAAATGCTGGGGATCACCCCCACCTCAGGCCTCAGCTCTCAACTCAATTCTGCACGGTCTTTATCACTTCTCTTTCCTGTTTCTTTCTCTTCTTCAACCCCTTCTATGATACACTTCCTAAGGTGTGATAGAAGTGTTGAAAGGATGAAAGGCTAACTTTGTGCCTGTCATGAACTCCCTTAGGAGCCATGGACACGTTATTCCTGTTTGTTTAGCCCTTACCATCAAGGGGACCCGAAGGGCTGGACCATTTCTTTCCCCAATATACTCCAGACTTTCCATGGTCATTAATATAGATTGCACCTATATTAGAGGCACTGAGGCTTGCCCCTTTATCAACTAGTCCCACAGATTTAAATTCGCACGATTCCCCGACCTAAGGCTCTCCTTTGAACATAACTCTTAATGGTAGCCCCTACTCAGTACCTACTATCTCTTCAATCTAGCCCAAACCATCCACCCAGGTCATTACTCAACCTCCACAAAACATTCCTCCTCTCCCAACATCCTCTACTTCATCTCCACCCCAAAGCTTTCATCAATTACTACTGCTTCCTCCCTTATTACTACTACAGTCCTATTGTCCACCTCTCGACACTACTTCCTCTTCTACATGTCCCTGTTCTTTTACTGCACCCACCTCTATAAACCTGAATGCTCTGTTTAAGCTATCTGAATGATAAGATTTTTCATGAATCCCTGTACAGGCCTTTACTCTGACAACACTTCTCTTTCTGCAGTGCCTCTAAAAATAAGTAGGGAATGTTTCCCTCTGCAGCCACCTTGACCATTGCCGCCTTGTCACAGTACATCCGAATCCCAAGCTAAACCATTAGCAACCCTGACTTGACTGGCAAACCCATTCCTGCCCAGCCTCATCTCTCCTTCAATACTAGTACCGGAACTCTCCATCTCCCCAATAAACTGCCGTCTCTGACAAGGAATGGTCAGATTGTGATTGTGGAGAAGACTTACTTGACTGCCTCGTGGACTATGATGCAGTATCAGTCAGTGCAATGCTGCACCATTCACCCTAGTGTTTGCTGGAAGTCCTCTACCAATTTTACCAAGATTATTTTCCGTAGACATGACCTCCCCGTTCATGTTTGTACTGGCGGAGAGTGCCTCCCTGTCCGACCATATTAGCCCCTCCTGTCAATGTCAGAACTGTTGGCATCTAGGCCACCATACCATGCACCTGCGCCACAACCTGATGCCCTCTATGTGCCCAACCTGGTCATGATCGATCATACTGATTGGTATAATCACACGCATGTGCCAACTGTGGTGGCTCCCATAATGTATTTTATTGAGGCTGTCCTACCCACAAGCTTGTCTCAGGTGGCAAATCTCTGATTCAGAATTGGCCTCACATTATGTGAGACTATTCCTTCCAGTCAAATTCTTTTGCCATTCTAAATCCAGACACCCCAATCTCCACCATTGTTCCAGACATTCCAATCTCGACCCTCTTCATCCTCGCTCAACTTATCGTATAAGACAAGCTAAACATCCCTGCATCAACCTCTCCCACTGCCCCTCAAACATCTGTCCCCTCTTCTCCATCTCCCAAGAAAACCTTTCTTTCTCAGACCTCCCCAATTAACTACACTTCAGAAACTCGAAGAGATTCACAAATAAATAATCATGACCCAAGATAACATGCCTACACCGTCCAGTCTCTGCTCTCATTCCCTCTACATTCAAGGTAACTGCCGACATCCATTTTCCTCCTACTCATGTTCCCCCAACACCCCTTCTTCCCGCTCCCTCCCAAAACATCCTCTTCCTCCCTGTTTCAGCTACATCATCCCCCCTATCTTCCTCATAATCTCCTCCACTTCCCCCTAGATCCATATGTGACTTTGTCACAACAACCTTCTTCCCTGGATTCTCTCCCTCTTGACCTTTCTCCTGAATCCGTATTCTAACCGCCCTTAACCCCCCACCCCACCCTTTTCTCCTTTTACTAATCCCTACCTTAGTCTACAGACATCCTTGCAGAATCCCACACTTCTACCCTAACAATGTTGAACCAATCACTCTTTCTTGTTCTCCTCCCTCCTCATCATCTCTCTTTTTCCTCTTCTCTTGCCTCATATTCTCCCTCCTCTCGTACAAGCCACCAATCCGTAGCAACTACCCAATTTTAATAACGAGCATGAGTTTCAAGAGTATTTCAAATAAAATGCTTCCGTTTTATTACATTCTCCATACATACTAATCTGACAGTCTTATAAGCAGTAAGACACGGCTGTCTCGACGCTTCCGCTCCCTCCTTATAACATGTCTGTCACAAGCAGACCTTTCAGCTAACGGCCCTTAGAGTCCTCATCACCATCAAGCTAGATTTTGTTAAAGCTAAGCATAGAAGCCTGGGTACAACTACAACGTTTTAACTGTAAATCCATACTTCTCGTTTGTTTTACTGGCTGCCTCCTACTAACAGACTACCTGTATACCCTTCACATATCTCATCCATTACCACACACAAATATGTGGATCGCAGGTGACTTGAGGTTAGTTGATATAGGATGGGACAGTCTAGAAAGGTTTTAGACTTTCGGCTGCTCTGGGCTGTCACATGACCTCCCTCTCCTTCTGCACCGATCTTAAGTGTCTATCATCCCCCCATACAAACAATAACCAACTATATGACAAACTCATTAACATCATAAATATTTCACGTTCGCAAAGAGTTCTCACCCCGACGCGACCACTAATAAGACGCCCTGACGCTTTGAAAACTTCGTTAAACATTTTAGAGACAGCCTAAAAAAACGCAACGCAAATACATTTCTACCTAACTCGCAGTAAGTCTAAACTTTTCTTTGGGGTTTCCTAAGTCTCGCAGACACGGCACCGACAATCTCACCTCACTCCCTCTCACACAAACCAAACTTCAACAGACAAACTGACTGCATCTCAAAGAAAGCCAATGGAGCTCTGGGGTTCCCGATGAGAACCTAAGTTAACTGGACACCAGACCTCAAATTTATAGCATATGATATACCTGTATAACAAACACGAGTACCGTAAGGTTGTATGGAATCAAATATTAAACGCAGCACAGGCTAACTCAAATAGGTTAATAATGGACGGCCAGATTCATTACACATACTGCATGTGACTAAAGCTATACGGTCAGTTTGTTAAAATTGTGCGAGGCCCGACACAATGAATATTCATTATACAAACATGCATATGCACAGAAATTAATGTACATCTATTAGTATATCTACCAGATAGATAGATAGGTGAATGTATATCTATCAGATACGTAAACTGATAAGCATTCATTCTGCGTATATGCATGTCCGTATATGTGAATATTCATTAGGTTGGGCTTCGTACATTTTGAACACACTGGCCAAGAGTCACATGATTCAGCCCGAGACACAGAGACAAGCATGAAGATTCGAATACACGTGCAAACTCGCAACCTCATGCACATGAATATTTATGGGCAACATATACACGCAGCTTACGCAATTCGCACAACAAAATTAATATATAGCACACCAACATTAATTTACAAGTGCTCCTTCTCACGCACCATAGGCGACTTACTAGCTGCCTCTGCACGGTACAGAAAGAATAGTATCTCCGCAAACTATTTAAAAAATCTAAACTAACACTCATGCATACACGCAAACACCGCCTCTGACACCATCCTTACATGCATGATATGCACTGACCATCGCCTACTATCAACATGGCGGCCAGACTAGCAATATGGCGACTTTGTGGTGTGTGTGCTTGAACAAAGGCATAAGCTTTACCCATGTTGCAAATTAAAATCAAATTATCCCATTTCTTTAGCATTTTAAATCACATGTGTATAAACAGTCTGCAAAAAGGAAAATGAGCACCTCGTTTGTACTACAAGAAATATCCTGATCTACACGCTGTGAATCCCGCAAATTCTCAGCAAATTAACTTTCCAATATGATGCCATCTTGTCTGGCTCTGCTTCTTGGCTGATTTTGCGAGACATAAATGCATGGATCAGATAACTCATCCGAGGTCGTCGTTCTGAATCTCTCTTAATACTTTTTGTACCTTTCTGTGAACATAAACACCATTCCAATTTCCTGTTCAGTATGGGTTATGATAATGATCGTAGTGACAATGATAATAGTATTAGTGATATCAATAATTACCGTGATGATAGTAATGATAATAGTAATAATAATGATAATAACAATGCTGCTGCTGATGATGATGATGAAGATGATGATAATGGTGATGATGATGATAATGATGATGATGATGATAACTATAATGCTGATGCCAAGGATGATAATAAGAGTAACAATAACAACGATAATTGCAATAATAATCATGATAATGACGACAATGATATTGTTAATGGGATGATGATGATAATAATAATGATAATGATAATAATGATGATAATTATTATTATGATTAGGATAAAGACAATAACAACAATAATGATATGACAATAACAATAATGATGATAACGACAATAATGAGAGAGAGAGAGAGAGAGAGAGAGAGAGAGAGAGAGAGAGAGAGAGAGAGAGAGAAAGGAGGAAGGAGGGAGAAACAAACGAAAATAAGAAAGCTTGTTGATTGATATTATGTTCTACTGTCAAGAGTTTAGAAAATAATGTGTAAAAAATATTTACGGGGGCTTTCTCGATTTCAAAATCATCTGTTATTTCATTCAAAATTACACATAAATCACTTGAATTTATTGTTTATTCCTTATTTTTTTGTTTATTCCTAGCTAAGCCACTGGTAATTATTATTTTCGTGACTGTAAATGTAATCATGATAATCATGTGACATCATATATATCACCTGCACTAAAATAACAGAAATATATAGCACTTACACTAACTACCTAAAACCTCATTGCACTTCGAGCTATACTGTAAAATTGTAAAGCCAACGACCCGGATAATCACGTGACCCGTTACAGGGTATCGTCAATGAGTGACTATAACCTCGACAAGGGAACGTTCGCCCGCTTGTTAAAACTGTGCGAGGCCGGACACAGTGAGTGTTCATTACGGAGAAGGCTAGATCAGCAGCATCTCGAGGAGGTGCCAGGGCATCTGATTCTGTTTTAGGAAAAGGCACACTTAGATGACTTTGTGAATATGCTCGATCATTTTTGGTCTTTTCGAATTTCGAAAAGGATGGGAAAATAATGATTTTAAGGTAAATTTGGAAAAAAAGAACGTCACCAACGCTTTTCGGGACGAAAATAGATTCGTTCGATTTCTATTGTTTTGGTTCGGCTGATTCTGGTGTTTGTTTTCATCGGAAATGGCTAGATTGTCTTTTCCATACCAGAGTTGCGCCACTCTTGATATCATGCATGTGCACTATGGAATTCTCGTTCTCTGCTGTAATCACAATATTGTTTAATGTGCCCCAACCCAAGGGCTGCCCCCCAACCCCCGCCAGGAAACAGGAGAGAGCGTTGGACAGATTCGGATCGGGCGGTCCCGCATGTCGGTCGTAGTTACGAAAATTACGCTGCAGGGTCTGTGCCCCCTGCTACCCCCTCCCCCACGCCAGGAATCGCCACGTATTCACGGCAGAGAGGGCGTCGGCATCGGGCGTATCCGTACGCCGTTCGTACGCACGCGAAGCACTGTACATTTAGTCACTTCAATGAAAATAAACCTAAAACATACCTGTGCAGAGGAGGGGCCTGGGTGAGGGTCGTCAGTCAGTGGAGCGGCTTGCGGGAGCGGGAGCGACGGAGAGGTCTGCGTGAGCACGAGCGACGCGACGGCCGATCGCAGGGCATTTCAGAGCAAGGTCTATGTAAGTACTTATATAGACCTTGTTTCAGAGGTTAGAACTCCGTGTTCACATAATAGTTTCAAGCTAGCCTCATCGTCTTCAGAATATTCTATTATAAATTGGAATGGTTTGATACAACATCCTTCACACACGGAAGTCATGGCGAGACTAATTTGAAAATTAAATTTAATAGTTACCATTTTAGGTAATGTTCATTCACTGGCTGTTTCCCTCGTGAATTCTTTCCCCATTGGCTATTGGCTATTAAATTAACCGCCAAACAATTAACCAATGAAATCGTGACACTGGCCGTGACGTCACAGGCGAGATAACAAGAACAGTACAGGTACGAGAGACCCCGCGCATGTGTGTGTGTGTGGTGGTGTGTACATATATATGATTATATATATATATATATATATATATATATATATATATATATATATATATATATGTATATATATATATATGTATACATGTATATATACATATATATGAATATATATATTTAAGATATATATATATATATATATATATATATATATATATGTATAAATATATACACATTTGTATTTGTCATATGTATATATTATGTATATATATATATATATATATATATATATATATATATATATATATATATATATATATATATATATTATATATATATATATATATATATATATATATATATATATTATATTATATATTATACATATATATAACATATGTATACATATATACATATACATAGATATATAAAATATATATACATATATATATATATATATATATATATATATATATATATATATATATATATATATATATAGATATATATACATACACACGTGTGTGTGTGTGCATGTGTGTGTGTGTGTGTTGTGTGTTGTGTGTGTGTGTGTGTGTGTGTGTGTGTGTGTGTGTGTGTGTGTGTGTGTGTGAGAGAGAGAGAGAGAGAGAGAGAGACAGAGACAGAGACAGAGACAGAGACAGAGACAGACAGACAGACAGACAGACAGACAGAGAGATAGAGAGAATGTTAAATATAAATATTTTATGGTTTCTTTAATTGCTTCAACGGTTAGTTTAATAAAGACAAGAAATACATCTTAAAACATGATGTAATCACAAAACTAATACTGAAATTCAGAAATATGAAGAAAATAAGTATCTTATTATCAACGTAATGTAATGATGGTCATTAAAAGCAGTGCAAATGTACACCTCTTAAAATCAATGAAATAACAAAACAAAAAACAAAAAGCAAAAAAAAATAATAATAATAATAATAAGGTAATCGGGAGTTGGGTATCGTATGTTGCAAGAAATCATCGTTCAGGAGGCAACGTCATGTCATTCTTCCACGTCAAGTTTTTGGAATTATAGCACTGCATAGTGATTACTTCAGCAACATGTCTCTTCTAATGGTATACTAAGGAAATATATATATTTTTAGATTGATATATACTATTATACATTGGTCTGAAGGGGAAATATACTCGTCAAAATGACAATCTTGCAAAACATTTGGAAATCGAGGGAAAATATCGTACTATTTTACTGCATGCATCTAATCTAATGATAATACAAATATACGACAAATATATCGACTAGAAAATTGAAAACAGTCCTTCTCATAGCCTTAACATCACTGTATGCACAACTACAATATCTTATCAAAACCTCTTCAGTGAGCTATCAGGTGCTTGATGTTTATTGTTACTTCATTAAGTCCAATCAGCTGCAGAAGTAGCAGTTTAACAAGAAAAACGTAACTATTTAACAGGGAATATTATTTCGTGTAAGTTGATTAGTTTTTTTCTATTTTGTTGTGACTTGATTGTGTATATATGTGGTTGTATTTTAATAGATCTGTGATTATGGATGTCGAAGTGAGACCTTTCAAGCAGTATGGTTTTCTTAGTTTTATTAAAGCTCTATCATATTATTATAGATGGTGCTTTGTGTTACTGAAGCCCGCCTTGTACTTTTATTTTCATTATACATTATTTCAATCCTTTTTGATATGCTTTACCACACATAATTTAAGTTGCATTACAAATATCATATAAATTACCAATTCCAAAACTTTTTGAGTTTACACTTTTAACCCATATTAACTTATACCTACTATGATTTCCATGCCATTTTAACCGTAACCTGGTTGTTGAGTCAGCTACCCAGGCATGAATTAGAATGGCAAGCAAGGAGACGTATTTTGATATTTAACACTTGCTCTAATGCAGGAACTCATATTCCTTAGACTCTCTTACTGTCCATATACCCAATGTCCTTTTCCTTGTTTCTCTTTATTGATAAGTTCTTGACTATTATTTTTGTTCTTTGTTGAATGCTTTTCATGAAGAACTTGTTGTCCTCACTTATTTTATCATCATACACTGTCAAATGTAATGTGGTTGACTAAGATGATAAAGTGTAATTTTAAGTTCAGTGGACAGATGGATATAATCTTAAATGTTTTTTCATGGAGATATCCTATGAGATTTTTTTCCGTGACGAGCAAATCAAATCTGATCTAAGTATAAATTCATGTGAGGTTGAATCTGAATTTATAATGAACCCAAGGGAGCAGGAGACAGCTTGATCTGTATTTCATTAAAAGTATAAAAAGAATGAAAAGTAAACATGCTGAAATGATATGGTTCAAGACCCTGAATTTGAAATAAGATTCCTTCGGAAATTAGAAACGGTTTCTAAGAAAAATCAAAAGTGCTGAAATAGAACACTAATCAACTTCTGATTGGTTATATTAGAGGTAAATGTTACGTCCTTTCCTTTTATTATTGTTAGTCATAGAACTTTCTCAGTCAGAACCTTTAAAGGCCCATTGTAACAATTATTAGCAGAAGAATGTTAACTTTCTGTAGTCCTTATACATACAACCTTGTGCTGTCACTAAGACAACCATATCTACCATTGTCACCTATTATCCCTATTCCTTCTCCAGTCATAGATACAATGCAATTAATTTAATTGCTCTACATTCTTACTTAACCTTTCCCACCTATTAATCATAACTCTACTTCATTTCCTTCTCTCCTTTTCCTTTCCATTACCATACACTCCTACAGCACCCTCTAATCTTTGATATCTAACACCCTCCCCTCTCCCCGGATTCTTCTCTTACTCTTCAACAGCTATCTCTGTTCTTTCTTGAACATTTTTCCTATACCTTCCCCAGTGACAGATACACTGTAATTCACTAAATTGCCCTACCCTCCCCTTTATACTGATCTCTTATCTAATTCATTTGCTCCCCTATTCCCCCTTTTCACTACCCTGCTATCCTATAACGTCCTTAAACCTTTGACATCTAACACATTTTATCGTAATCTTTAACTCTTCTTTGTCCTTTCCGATGCAATACTTTCCCATAGTGCTACATGACCTTTGATGTCTAGCACATTTATTTTTCAAACATTAATTAATTAATACAACCTTGTGCATCCAAAAATCCCCCAATTTTTAGTGACTATACTTTTAACAAAAAGTTGAGAATTTATTCTTCAAATCTTTAAAAGTTATTTTTATTGCCTTATTTGAATTTTTGTTTGATACATTAACCCTTTTATAGATGAATTTATCTGATACTAAAGTTTCCAAATTTTGTTTAAGAAATATGTTTTCAATTTCTTTTCACATTATAGTATTTTTGTACTGGCTGTATTTCAAAGAAACTGACAGTAGTATATGATCAAAGTTTTTTAAATGATTAAATATAGTTTAGTGAAAAAATAGAACTTTGCTATGC